CCTGTCACCCCCCAGGCCATCTGGAAAGCCCTCTGTTGTTGCTCAGGCCTCCCAGAGTCAAGGGTCCCAGGCCTCTTACCCTCTGGGTCTGGTTGTTGGTCACCAGTTCATAGATGGGGGCTGCTCTGGTCACCTCCAGCAGAACTGGCTCAGCAGGAGTGTCAGGGCTGGATGTCACATGACACAGGGGGCAGGATGAGGGGCATCGGCCCTTGCTCTGGCACTCCATGCGGACCCCAGCTGCCATGCGCTTGGTGCCAGACTCTGACAGGCTGGCGATGTACTCTGGGAACGTCAGCACCTTGGGGTCTCTTTCCCGCTCCTCCGACTCATCGGATGGAGAGTTGCCTGCCGGACACAAAACGAAAAGGAACGGTGAGCAAGGATCATCAAAGAGCAAGGTCTTGCATGTTCTTGTGGCCCGAGTGCCGGAGTCAAATCGTAGGGAGGTCACGAAATGTCACTGGCAGGTTACGGATGTGATTCTGACCTCCCATTGAATAGGGGGAACCCAACCTCCCAGTAACCAACAGAGTTGGAAACAGCCTTCTCAATGTGAGATCAGGTTGTTTCCTTTCAGAGAATCATCAGCTCCACTGATCCCCTCAGAGGGAGGCATCTTCAATGCATGTGCAGGATCTAGGACTATCGTCAGGAATACAAACAGTAGCAACAGTGATTATTCCGGGACTCAGCTCCCTCATCCATTAAATGAAGATATTCCCAGTACTACCTCTAGCGGTGTGTGATGAATAAATGACAACATGTTTTTAAAGCACACACCCCAGTGGCTAGTGCTTGGCCAACCACCATCATAACAGTCTTCATTATAACCACAGGTAAGATTTACCTAAACTAGGAAGTGAGATCCGGTCCAGGCCTCCTTCCACCCTTGCAAGAACTCTCTGCATGGACTTCCATCATTACATCCATTTTATGGGTGAGGAAAGTGAGGTCAAGAGCCTTAAGATCACACAAGGGTAGCAGGTGGTCAGAGCTGGGATTTGAATCCAGTTTTGCCAGATTCCAAAGCCTTTGAGTCATTGGGGGGAAGAAGAGGACTTCTCTGCTTCATTACCCATCAATGTATTGAATATGGGGAGGCAGTTCTGGCTTTTTCAAAAAGATCTGCGTTCCAAAGCACTCCAAAGAAACAGGTTCACATCGCCCTTGATTGATGAGTAAAAAAGGTAGTTAGAGAAACTCTTGGTTTATTTTTGGTGTCAAAGATGAGAAATGCCTACCCGAACATAATACTTTGCTCCCTATGGAAGAAAGCATGGCTTGATATTTGTCCTCCAAGCCTTCGTGATTTCCCATTTAACCTCTTCATTCCAGAGGAAGATGGAAGTAGGGTCCGCTGACCCAAGTCTACCTTTGCCTTGGGTTCCTTTCTACACCCCTGGCCTTTTGTGACACCACTGCAGTCCCGACCATGAGACAATTTCATGCAGACCACAGAGATTTTAGGAACAAGGGGCAGATCTAGAACATTCATTCTGGTCATCTCGGCCTGATCTGGGGGAAATGCGGTAGTCGATGGGCCAGATCTCTGGGGGAAATGGTTGGAAGGTTCCAGAAGGTGACCGGGATACAACTCATTGACTTGATAACAAGGTTCTCTCTTGTGGGGTCCAGGGAGTGCTCTGCTCGCCTGTCTCTTGTTTGTTATGTAATATGAACCTGTTTGGAAACGTCATGAGACATTTCAGCACTGTTGTCTCCCAGATGAACACGCTCATTATGTGGATGAGGCATCTTCATCCAGAGACTCCACTGACACGGCTTTCCCCCTGCTCACTAACACAAAGGATTCTCTCAGTGACTGCAAACACGGGATACAATTCATTTCACATTTGCTTTTTGTTTAATAACAAACCCAGAGTGGAACTGAAGCCTTTCCTAGTTTATAAAAACTGCATGACTACACGTACCAAAACCAAGAATGATGTTATCAAATAGGGTGGCCCAGGAGCCCACACCAGCAAGCCCCAAGGTCCCTTGAGCCACATGTAAATCCTGATTGACATTCAGGCTTATGCAACTCAGTCAGTCCCATGGCTGAGAGTATTTGTAAAATGACCACAATCTGGAAGGACTCTCCTCACCCAGCCCCTGGCCAGGCCTCAGTCTTCTTCAACAGGCTATATAGACTGGACAGGGAGAAGAAGTGAATGAGGTCTTGGATTCTTGATACGATTTCTAGAAAAAAAGGCCTTCATTCATTGGGGAAGTGAATGAAACTCCAAAAAAAAAAAAAAAATCAGTGAAAACACAGTGCGTCTTTTCAAGACAAAATTTAAAAATTTTTGCTGCACAAACCTTGCCACGGAGCTTGAGTGTCTCCTGGAGGGCCCTCGTCACCCTTCCGATCAGATTCATCTCCTCAACCCACAGCCCTCCTTGTGGAGTGTATTCAACAGAGGCGGGGAAAAGAGGTCCCATGAAATGACCACTAGATGGCGATATCAAGTGTAAAATGACTTCTGTGAGAGGAAAAATCTTGCAATGAATTCTGTGTGGCCACTCTGGTACTATACAGAAAATAGACTTGGAAAAGTAACACCTGGCAACTTAAAAAAGTGTGTGACCGTGCCATTTTTTTTCCCAGTGGAATAAGAAAAAAATTTAATGAGTAGCCTAATTCCAGAAAATGTATCCTAAGGAGAAACAGTAGAGAGCAAGAGACAGGTAATTCTGAGAGACGGAGAATGAAAATCCTCCCTCAATATCCTTCACATGGAGTGACACTTCTAAGTGGAGATAATATGCCACCAAATTCCTTTCCTCTCGCCTTGAATCCCCAAATATCCAGGAACTCTGCCCTCCACTTGCCCACCACCCACTCCACACGCATTCAGGTGTAGGACGCCTGCCCATTTATCACTTAGGGTGCACCGCTCTGACAGCCAGCTGTGGCCACTAGAGGGCGCCGAATCCCCAAACACAGTGGAGCTGAGTGACCACCTCCCAGCCCTCCAGCACTCCATCCTTAAGACTTGTAATTGCTGTAACCAGTTGAGAGGCTATTCCCTGGTGGCTGTCTTCTGACTGTCCCAAGCAAAATCAAGATACCACGAATCCCCTTCAATATCCGGGCAGGAGCACGGTTAGGGAGAAGAGAGGCGTGGGAAGGAGGATGCAAAAGAAGATGGTGGCAGACCACCAAACTCTTGTTTTGATCCAGAATCCTATTTTCTTTCTCCTGAAAATATTCAGGTTCATAGAAAGCAGGCCCTGTGAAGGACCCTCTAGCCCCCTGGTCATGCAGTACGGAGCTGTCTAGAGAGGAGCTGGATTTATACAGAAGTGATGAGCAGCGAACTCCCAAAGCCATCCATTCAGGCTCCAGCAAAGAATAGAGATGTGTGTGTGAGAGAGATTTTTCAAAGAGGAAATGCATTTTCCATGCGCAGTTAAAGGCACAACTGGGAAATACTCCTTAAAATGATGGAGTCCGGTGGTGAAAGCCCAGATAAATCTCCCTTTGCCCAAAGAGAGCACCTATAACATCATGTCTGTGGCAAGCGAGAGAGTAGTTCAAATCCTAAAAGCTTTAGGGGAGTCTGATCTTTGACATTTGCTTTTAACTCCCCCTCAGTGTTGGAGTGGGAGGTAGAGAGAGTGCATGGAGAGTCACAGAGAGGAGACCCCCCCCCATTTCCTTATTGTTCAATGGCTCTCCCCTCCGCCTCCCACTCTGGTTACATTCCTTAGGTACTTCTTGCCTCTTCTGCCCTCTAGATCCCTGGTGGAAATTCTCTAGCACTTTGAGGCACTACGTTGTCTCTTAATAAAATGAATATGCGATTTCAACAAGCTACAGAGACTCTGGACATAGGAAAGGAGCTACAATTAAGGTCTTAAAAGATTATAATTGGCAAAAGTGCCTTCTGATCAAGGGCATCCAGGTGCCCAGAAGGGGCGTGGCCCCCTCTTATCCCTGTTTGCAGAATTCATCGAATTGCTCTCAGGGAGGCTTTGGAGTCCAGCCATGACACTTAGCTTTCATATAAGTAGAAGAACAGCCAACCTGGAATGTAGTTAACAACCCCAAAACTGCAAAGCATTTTGCAAATACAGTTTGCTATAAATAAATGCCATTTGCTTTAGGCTAAATCTGTATCCTACAGCACCCAGTGGATGAATTTCCTCAATAGAATATTGTGGAATGAGAATGTTGGCATCCTCAATGTTTCGAATCTCACTGTGGATGTGCCCATGGCCTTAGGCGTGTACACACTGACCCACCTAGACTCAGGAGCGTACGAGGATGATAAAAGCGAGGGACCCATCCTCATACAGGGTCTGCTCTGCTGAGAGGAACTGACAGGTCATGGAGGTGGATTAGTTGTTATGAAGTAAATCGGTACGATTCCCGTAGGATTCGGGGACTGCTTAAGACTCTCTCTCCTGAGTTGGTGCCCAAGGCAATGAGATGCTAATGACACCACAGCCAGAATGACAGAGGTAGTTCATTAGGCAGCAAAGAAATCAAATGCAAACTAATTAGATCCTAGCCCTTGGAGACGGCACAGGATCTACAGGAAAGAAAGCCTGACGTGGGGCAGATGAAGCACAGCCGTGGCAAACCGCACCCTGGAGCCCCCCAACACCCTGCATCCCACCACCCTCCCCGCCGCCAGCCTGCTCCTGGTCACAAAGGGTGTCCGGGAGGTATCTAAATTCACATTTCCATCGACGCCCTCCGGCTCAGATCAGTCTCTCGGGATGTTTGGTCACGTCCTTGGACAGAGAGGTTCAGGTCACTTGGGATGAACTAAAATGAACTCCTAGACTTGCCATAAGACAGTCTCTGAGACCTGAATAAAGTACAATATGATGGGTTAATAATCAGGGAGAAAGGGACAGGGCATGAACTGGCCACTTCTCTCTACTCCTCTGTAGGAGACAGCGAGTGTTTGGGGTCAGTAATTGTGTTCCAATTGGGTTTCATCTTTGAAACTCCTCTATCCATTTCAAGCATATCCATATCCCCCCCCCTCTCTCCATGGATATATGTTTTGGGGGGCAGGGTAAAGGGGGCGAATATAACAACCACGATCATAGACTTAAAAGTTAAAAACAAGTCAAACATAAAGAATAAAACCGAAGCATTTGTAAACAGTTGCTAGCCTCGTACTAAAGCTTCGAAGGATCCAGTGGCAAGAACAAAGCGTTATCCTAACCACAGCCAACTCCCCGTCTCTAGCCGGGACCTCTCCCACCGGTGTTAACAAAGCCTTGTCAATAGCTTGCTTGGAAATCCATCTGAATGTCCGACGGGCACCTCAAAGCCAACATGTCCCACACTGCCGTGGTCATTCATCCACACTCTCTCCATCAGCCTGCCTCTTCTCTCCAAGGTGCTCGTCCAGCAAATGGCACCAGCTTCCTCACTGCTCAGCACGCGAGGCCCGGCTTCGTTGTCGGTTCTTCCTTGCCCTCCCAACCAATCACCCAGTCTCCACGTTCTCTACCTCCCCAAACCACCCACTCCTCTGCTCGCCCACGGCTGCCCCAGCGGCACAGCAGTTTAAAGCGTGAGGTCGGAGTCAGACTGCCCGGGACTGACTTCTGACCTTAGCACTTGCTAGCTGTGCAATTTGGGCTGAGTTCCTGAACCTTTTCTGGGCCTGGGCTTTCTTGTCCGTAAAAAAGAGACAGCAACTGAACTGCTTTCATAAAGCCGCGGTGGAGGTGAACTGATACAATCCATGAAGACAGCTTTGCCGTACCTGGGACACAGCGAGGCCTCTCCGAAGTTAATTACGCTCACGATGCCTGTCTGCTTGCCTGCCCCGCCTGCCACCAAACGGGCTCCTTGAGGGGCAAAACTGTGTCTAGTTCTCCCACTGTAATGTCCCACAGTGTTGTTATTGCCTAACAAGTAGCTAATGCATTCGACAGTTCATTAAGCAAATATGTATTGAATGTCTACCGACGTCTGTCGAATTAATAAATCATTTATAATGACTTGTATACGACGTGACTAGGTACTAACCAGACAGGCAGGGTTTCAATTCGTTTCTCGCCTTGCCGTCCTGGGTTCTTTTGAGATTTTCTGGTTTTCTCCTAAAAAAAAGAGGGACGTCCATCCAGGGCAAGTTCCACCCCTCTCAGGGACAAATGTGAGCTGGCTCGAGTCAATCTGATTGCAAAAATTTGAGGAAATGCCGCAAAAGGACACCTTGCAAATTGGGTAAAATCTCAAAGGCTGTGGCTGTACATTGAGCGTTTGCCTCGGGATAGAAGGAGTTAAGCTTAAAAAAAGGAGCAGCCGATTGTGGCACCGACGAGCAGGCAGTGGTTCTCCCGTGACTAGTAAATGTGGGAGCGTTATAGCCACTAATGTCACAAAGTGGCAAACGGATATGATTGGCGTCCTGGGCCATGAGGCCGCGGGTATCCGACAGCGGCTGAGGTGGAAGGCACATCGCTGTGGGGGGCGTGACAGCATTTGTACTGGGATTCAGCATCGCGCATTCTACTTATCCAATAAAAAAAGACAGTGGTTGTAACAGCAAGAGTGGGGGGGACGCTCTAGCCCCCAAGAATGGCCCTAAGGATGAAACATGGAAACCTGTATCTTCTGCGGTTTTCCTACCTTGCCCCATCTCAGCCTGTACACAGGAGCCCACCCACGTTTCCAGGCACACATTCATCATTACCCATGAGCTTAGAGGAAACACATCTTTGGGGATGTGCTTTTGGGATTAAATACTAGAAAACCATTGGTTCACAACTGTCCAACGTGTTGGACATAGACTTTATATTCCTGCCCTTCCCTACACATGAATTCACAATTAAAAAATATCCTGTGTCAGGATGTATTCTTTTGGCCCTCAAATTAAAGTTTCCGAAACTTCAGATCTAGTTCTTTGGCACTTCTTCAGGAAGCTTCTGGAAAGAGCAAATGGTCTTTGTTATAGGCATGAGCAGCATCTCTGGGTGTGGTGAGGTCCAGTTAAATAATTAGCAGTCGTCAAACATCCACTGGGCACCTTGGCAAAGCACAATTAACTGTGGGGTTGAAGAAAAGGTGTCTTCTGGAAAATTGAATTTTTTGTTTAATTGATACTTAGCCAGAAAATGCTTACTTTTCCTCCAATTCCTGTTGACATTTTTCTTCTCTAAAAATGCAGTTTTCCAATTTTCTGCCTGCCTCGTGAAGCATTGCCTACCACACAGAATTAAGCCTTTCCTCAAGGCACCTCAGGTGATCGTTTTGTTTATCAATTGTGACTGTGCAGATTTAGAAGCTGTAGGAGACAGAAATAAAACGGTACATGTACCCCAATGGGCTTTTGAAAAGTTGATCGACAACCTAAGGTTACAGTTTCTTAGGATTCCCTCTCCCCTTGATGGGCACGTTGTCAAACAAACGATTGCCTGGTTGAGGTTCCTGGCTGGTTGGGTTCACGTTAAACTGAAGTTTTGCTGCAGGTGCAATGCTCTGTCTTTGCCAAAAGTCGTTAGTCCTCTTTGGCATGGGAACAGTTAATCGAGTAACGAACTGACCAAACCTCTGACCAAAACTCACCAAAGCCTCTGTCAGCCTCTGTTTTGGTCAGTAAGAGTGATGGTCCACTTAGGAGGAGAGGTTGAGTCCAAAAAATGGAATAGCAGCGCCTGCCGAGGGATTAATAAAAACACAAAGATGGTCTTTGCCTGGCTGTGACTCCATCTGCACCCCCTTTAATCTTGAACGTAGTGACAAGGGGAAAAACGAGGAAAGCGCCATGAACCGCCGCTTTGAGGATGCCTAGAGACCCATCTTTACTTAGCCCCATGTGTCTCAAGAGGATCGATAATAAAATCCAAGAATTCCTAGGAAGCCCTAAAGCTTTGTCAGACATGAACCCTTCTCGTCAGCTAGACTGCCAGTCCCCAGTGGGCCAGAAACTGCCTGGTTCTCACCCAATGCCTGGCACTCGGTGAGCATTCAACAAATACAAAGGGGTGGCAAGAAGCAAAGGGACTGTAGCCCTTTCTGGTCTCTCACCGCCTGTAACTCCTCGAGTCCGTAACCCAAAGCCTCATTAGGATTCACCATAGAGTTGAGGCCAGGCAACCCGATGTGGCTCAGGGGGTTATCTGGAAACAGTTACTAAGTGCATATGGGAGATGGGGCTGGTATCACTGTTCTCACACACCAAAAATTCTCTCTTCCCTCCGCCTTTCTCTATACATTTATTCATTTATCTATTTTAAAGTTTATGTATTTTGAGAGAGAGAGAGAGAGAGAGAGAGAGAGAGAGAGAGAGAGAGAATGAGTGGGGGAGGGGCAGAGAGAAAGGACGACAGAGAATCCCAAGCAGGCTCCGCACTGTCAGCACAGAGCCTGATGCGGGGTTCAACCTCACGAACGTGAGATTGTTACCTGAGCCAAAGTTACCTGAGCTTAATGGACTGCACCACCCAGGCGCCCCCTTCCTTCTCTATATATTTATTAAGATCCTCTCTGCTCCCATCGTCCCTACTAGAAGTAATTCCACTGGTACCTGGAGCCCGTGTCCAGAAGAGCACCCACCACTGCATCAGACTGAGTTTGGTTCCATGTCTTGTCTGTCCCACTCTTCTCCAGGATGGGGCCTTACTCGCCCATATGTCCCCAGAGCCCAGCACTGGGTACTCCGCTGGTACTTGCTCAGCCTTGGCTGAAGTGTAATGAATATACGTGCACACTGTCGAACACCCTTTTGTAATGTTGACGTGATTCCATTTTTTCATTTGCCTCTTACAGCCCGACACGTTACTCACCAGATGCCTTTGATGCGACTCTGAGCGGTTCTCCAAGGTTTTTGTTCTTATCCAGTCTCTCCCCCTTCATTTCCTAGGGCTGCCAAAACAAATCAGCACCAACAGAGTGGCTTCAAACAATTTATTCCTCCAGTTCTGGAGGCACAAAGTCCCAAATCAAAGTGTCCACAGGGTCACGCTTCCTCTGCAAGCTCTCGGGAAGAATCCTTCCTCGCCCCTGCCAGCTTCTAGTGGCTCACCTCATGGCATTTCTTGGAGTCTCTCGGCTTGAAGCTGCACCGCTCCGATCCTGGTCTCAGCTGTTAGGCGGTCGCCTTCTCTGTGCCCAAATTTTCCAAGTTTCCCTCTTCCTTCTAAGGACACCAGTCGTTGGATTTGGGACCCACTCTGTGAATTATATCGGCAGAGAACCCGTTTCCAAGTAAGGTCACATGAGGTGGGCATGAGTTTTAGGGAGACGCCACTCAGGATGTAAGAGCTGCAGTCCTTCCACTGCAGTGTCCATAGCCTGTAGCGTTGTGACATCAACCACTGAGCTCTCCCCTGATCGACGGCCAGTGATGCCTGGGGGCTGGCCGTGCACCTGCTGGACTTCCTCCCAGGGCCCCAGGCAATGGGAAGAGAGAAGAAGTTTTCGGCTCCCTCAGCATCCCGAGGCCCCGCCGCAGCTCTGTGCAGCTCCTCGTCAGCATCAAAATAAACCTGACATGGAGATTCAGAGTCCCAGCCTTGTGGATGTACAGAGCTGCACGGGATTATCCCTGCTGACAGAGCGGCATGGGGATGGAGGCGGAGGACGGGGCTCAGAGAGAGGGGAAAATGAGGAGCACCCGTGGGATGGCTCTTTGCGACCCTCCATTAGTGGAGAGACCACCCGAGTGAGTGTAACGCTCAGCGGGCTCCCAGCAGAGCCTCCCGTGCTCTTGTCCGCAGGTTAGCTCTTTTCCCCAGTCTTGTGTGTCCTGTCTGGGAAGCTGTGCTGGGAAGCCAAGTGCACCCTCAGACCACTCGGGGGCAGAAGGAGCCAGGATCACTCTCGGGAGTAGCCCAGGCACAAGTGGAGGGAGAAGCCTGGACCAGAGAGACACCGCTCCCAGGACCAGCGTGGGCCTCTCTGAGCTTCTGGTCCTTTCCGGAGTGGAATTAACGATGCTTCCTCCTACTTCCCAGGCAGTATCATTTGCCAGTCAAGGGTGCCCAGGAGTCCCCTTCGCTTTGCCAGAGCCATCCCCTCAGGGAGATTCTGTGTGTGACTCCTTCCACCTCCTCCTCCATGTATTCAGTCTCCTGCCCTTTATGTGCTCCACCTGGGGGCTTGTCCTCTCTTTTCCTTCAGACTTCAAATCTGGACAAGACAAGCATAATGGAGAGAAACTCCTTGACATTCTGAAATGGGTGGAACTGGCATGTGACCAGTACTTGCCTTCGCTCCACATGACAAGAGCCTGCCTTGCACAGTGTGTGTGTGTGTGTGTGTGTGTGTGTGTGTGTGTGTGTGTGTGTGACAGAGAGAGAGAGAGAGAGACAAAGACGGACAGAGAGAGTGGCCAGGATGCTGACATGACTTACACTCAGGTGGGAGCCTCTGGGGGCTTATGTGGTTCCGCAGAGGGAGATTCAATGTCTTGCTGAGACACTGCGAAGGCTGGTGTATAAATATCTTTAACTACCAAACGGTCTAGAAATTTTTAATAAAAATATTATTTAATAATAATACTATTCCAACCAGCAAGGGAATGTCGTAACGGTCTCCATTTTCCTCTTGATACTCATCTAGCTTCTGTTTTTCAAATGAATGTGGATGTTAAGTCCTTTTGCTGCCCTGACCAATTTATTCTGCAAATTAACTATATATGACAGAAGTTAAAGTCCGTTACCACTTAGCTTTGCCTCACTGAAATTTATGCTGCCGTCCTGCCCGTTGGAGCCACGGGCTCCAATAGATTGTGGCTCCTGGTGGTGATTTGGATTCTGCTTAAGTCCTTTACCTCTTGGTCCTCCTCTCTTGAGTTTCAAATGTGCTGAGTGGACCAGGATCTTTTCACCTCTCGGTGACCTGTGCTCTGTTCTCAGACATATGGTCCCTGCAGCCACCCATCCAGCCTTAAACAAACTCTCCTTATGAGACATAGATTCACCCAGAGCTGTAACCCACACTGGTCTGTGAGGGAGGGCTCACTGGCTCAGCCTGGCTGCAAGTGGTGGAAACAACCAGATGCACGGGAAAGCAAGGGTTGCAAGATGAACAGGCCAGCAACGAGCGGCAGGCGGATGTAATCTCAGGCTGTATTTAAGAGAGTGCAGTGACCAAGGCGATGGGCAGAAGTGGTGTCACGTCAAGCTACCCTCCAAGAGCTGGTTCACTTCTGGGTGAGTCAGGGAGAGACATACTCTGAAAACAGGGAGGGCAGTCAGGGTTCTGGGGCACGTGGACCCGGTATCCTATCAACAATGGTTGAAGCAGATGGCGGGCGGAGTCTGGAATGGATACCAGGAGACCTGGTAGCGGACTTGGGAGCTCTCTCTCCAAGGATCTGAAGGGCTGTCACATGGACGTGGGATCACATGAATTCTGTATGTTTCAGAGGTAGAATAAAGATCCAAGGAAGGAAATGGGAGAGAATGAGTTTACTGAGCCACAGGTTTTCACGGAGTGCCTACTCTGTGCCAGTACAGTACTCAGTGCTCATGTGCACAGACGCATTTTTGCCAAAAGCTCATTTTTCCGGTGTGTGAGGTGGGAGAGTAGATAGAAAAGCAGACACTGATATGATGGGGAGTGATATCAGAGGCTTCAGAGACAGGCTTAGGGCATGCCCATGAGGAAATTTGGAAATCCACTTTGCTGGGTATGGGGGAGACTGAAGGAGGACTCTAGATTCCTTCAGGGATACATCTTGTAATAACTTACAACTGATACGAAGTAAGATGGGCCGCCTAGGAGATGGTGGGCAGAAGCATTCATATGGAAGCCAGACAGCCACTGCTAGGGATGTCATGGCAGGGCAGGGAGGCGGGGGGTGGGGGGGGGAGGGCTCTTCAGAAGAAGGGCTTTGTGTCCCTTTTAACAGCCAGACGTTAAACTGCTACTTTCTGTGACTTCATCTTCTTGGTCTTTCTCTAAATCAGTGCAGTGGCAGCAGGGCCAGGGATGTGCATCTTATCAGACACACCAAAGGATTCTGACTTCGGATAACGTGGCCATCCTCACATGACATGTTGGGATTCGACACCCTACACAAGAGTAATTTATTTTATAAATATTGCCAGAACACTTCTTAAAAATTCTCCACGTTATCCCAATATGTAAAAGAAATTAAAGTGGGGAATAGATTCCTAGGCGTTTGGCATCTTGACTGTTTGGTAAAAAATAAACAACTCTATTGTTTATGGAGCCATTCAAGCATCTACTCAGAGCCCCAGGCACAAGCAGCCTAATTTGAAAACTACTGATTCAGACTCTGATGACATTGGCCTGAACTATTCCAGAAGTAACCAAGCGTGCTCCCCAGCCAAGAGGACTGCATGCTGACCCTGAGAAGGATATTGCCACCAGCAGCAGATTCTATTGTTGGCCATCCAATTCTATTGTTGGTGCTTCCTGGATTTTGCCAGACAAAAACCACACTGTGTGGCCAGTCCTACTTAGGTGATAATAATCAAAGTCAGAAAACTTTATACTCTTGACCAAGCACAGATCTAGTCAATCATGCACATTCATCTCATAAAGAACTTCATGGAGACGTGAGAAGGCCACATCCATGCAGACAGTTCTGTTCAGGGGGACAATAAAATGAGGGGCAGATGCAGAAGCCAGATCTAATGCTCTCCTGCAGACAGTGAGTATAAAGGTGTGTATTTATTAATACATTTCATTATTAACTCATCTCGTTCAAATGCCTTCAAGAGAACTTTATCATTATGTCCGACCAAGGTGACACTGTGATGTTACTCTACTTCCCTGCATGCTTATAGCAAGAGCAGAGATCAAGATGATTACAAATGTTAGAATGACCTGTGAGGTTTCTTCCAGCCAAGGAAGAAAGAGGCTGTTACTCATGTAGCAGGGCCCAGCTGTCATCACCATAAAGAAGGCCATCTTGTCACTTTGGCCATTAAAAGCCCTGACACCACAGTCTCCGTTAAAGTCTACCTCACTCTTGTGCACACATACAATTTTTCTTATTTCAATAAGGAAATTAATGGTTGATGGGGAGAACAGCCAGCCAGCCAGCCAGCCAACAGCCAGGCAGAAATGGCCCTGCCTAGCCACTGAGCCAGCAGAAGCTCCCAGACCCAATGATGTGTGAGGACATGGTCAATGAGGAGGGCCGTCTCTGAGACCTTTGATACTGGACCACCAATGAAAGCAGATGTCTGGTGTTGAAAATGAAGGGAAGGCCAGAAAGGGATGAACCCCCATCTGTCTCAGCATAAACCGTTGAGACAGACACTGTGAGCATGTCATATCCCAGGCCACCACCTCAGCTGGCAAAGATCTTCTTCACCCAGAATTCCTCATCTCCTGAGAGGAGGCAGTTAGGCCTGGGTTCAAATTCAGAGGTCTGGGATATATTATAAGATGCTTAAACTCTTTGGGCTATAGTTCCCTTATGAGTTAAATTGGTGAATAACACAACTTGTCTCACTGGGTTGTTCTGAGAGTTAAATGGGATAAGACATGTCAAACCCTTAGCCTGGCCTCCAATAACTCCAATAACTCAATGGTAGTCATTGTTCACCATTACATCTCCAAAACCTAGCCCAGTCTTGTAGCACAGTCTGGACACCCAGTAAGTACTCAATACATACAAAATGAATGAAAAGTGAACAAACATTGACGATCAAAAACAGAACAAGGATCTTCATGAGCTAGAGACAGAACAAGAATACTCAGTAGTAAGTGAGGAATAAACTTGCAGGCTTTGGATCTGTAGGAACCTAACACACCAAGGTTGCCAGGAAGTCCGTTCCTACATAGTTAAGTGATCAGAAATCCCCCACATTGTGGGGAAACAGACTATGATTGAGGAAGGGCTCCACTACTTGCCCCCCAAAAGTGAGGCCAAGGAAGCCATGCCTAAGTCCAGGCTTCTGTGAGTACTGAGCTACCTGCCTGAGATGGCAGGAGGGAGGAGAGCCAGAATGTGGCTGACCCACTGGCTTTAGTACTGGAGTCATGACAGCCCCATGGGATGGGAGAGGGGAAGGAAAAGATGATGCTAAATTCATAATTCGTTTGTGACCACGTGCTTCCATGTACACCTTTGATGCATGACAATCAATCAAAAGATGTGGCTGGTTTGCCTAATGGTGGCCTCTTAAGCATCATTGTTAGTAGTACGCTTGTTCAAAGTGACATGGTCCCTATGGTCCCAAGGTGACCCTCAAGGCTGGCAACCCATCCCTCCAGCAGTTGGGTGATCTTTTCATTAATCCTGGGGGGAAAGAGGCGACACCTGGGTGACTCACTTGGTTAAGTGTCCGATTTCGGCTCAGGTCGTGATCTCACAGTTCGTGAGTTCGAGCCCCACCTCGGGCTCTGTGTCTCCCTCTCTCTCTCTGCCCCTCCCCTGCTCATGCCCTCTCTCTCTCTCTCTCTTTCTCTCTCAAAAATAAATAAACATTAAAAAAAATTTTTTTTAATGGGGGCAAATGGGTAGAAAAGATGCTGGTGACCATGCTGAGCTTTACCTATTTCAAATAAAAATGCTACGTAAGATTAAATTTTGATCCCCCAAGCCAACCTTTCTAGTTACAAAATATTTCTCCCTGAAATTCAATACTACTTGGATGGTTCCTGCACAGGTGGGTAGTATATAAATGGCAGTATTTAAGGACCTTGAGTAACGATCTATAATACTTAGGGGTTAGTACTAAGAGAGTGCTAGGACTTCTAGATTCTTTTTTATTTTCACAGAAGAGAGAAAAAGCAAATCCCTCCTAGGTTTCAGGAAGACCTCAGGGGTATCTTTCCCTTATATCAATCTGGAATCAAAAACCCACAGAGAAATACAGAAGATAAGCCACTTCAGATATATCGAGTCATGAATCCTATCTTTTTCTAAACCTTGTAGCTATAGGATCTTGGATTTAATTTTCATTCCTATGGTAACAAGTCTACTGGAGGACAATTCGGATATTGTCTTCATTCTAGTCTAATGTCAAACAAATAAAGCCACACAATGTAATAGATGTCTGCCCCTGTGTGCATGTGTATGTGTAAGTGCACATACTCCTAACAAAATACAGTCGCACCCCAGTGCCAGGAACTTAAGTGATATCAAGGAAGCTGGGACAAAAGGACTCCTTTAAGATGGTTGATAAGAAAATTAATCATTGATATTTCCAAATCCCTGAGGCACATCTAACTGTACTTTCAGAAACATAGGAAAGTGAATGTTGTCAACAAGCAACCAAGGCTGAAATTTTGTGTGTATAGTGGGAAGTACTCATCTCAAGGTTGTTACCAGTATTTATTTTTTTTGAGAGCAAATCTTTTTAGATCCTTCTTGTGCTTCTGTTTTCAGCCCTCCTAGGACTTTCTTTCCATCAAAAAGTTGGTTGACATCAAGCAAAAGTCAAAAGACCCAAACTGGAACTCAATTCAATTTGACAGAGCAAATACTAAGTTATTGAATGTCTATTTACAAGGTACTATGCAAGTCTTTTGAATATACCAAAATGAATTATGTGTAATCCCTACATTCAAAGGCTGTATTACCTTGTAGAAGAGATAAGACAGATATATGGAATTTCAGTGCCTTTTTTTTTTTTTTTAAACAAAATGATCAGATAAGGAACAGACAGTATCAGGATGATTAGACCATTCTAATCATTGAGGAAAGCTTCATTGAGGAGAGGGAGCTGTTGGGCTAGGCCTTGAGGGATGAAAGCATCCTTAATAACAAGAGCTACCATTCATGGTAGGAGTTGGCAACTCTTTCTCTGTAAAGAGCCAGAGAGTATATATTTTAGGCCTTGTGGCTCACCAGTCTCTGAAGCAACTATTCAATTACGCCTTTGTAGTGTACAAGCAGCCACAGACTATATGTAAGCGAATGGCATTGCCCTGTTCCAATAAAGTGTTATTTATGGATACTGAAATTTAAATTTTATATAATTTACACACATCGCAACATGTTATTTCCCCTTTTATCTTTATTTTTCAAATATTTAAGGAGGCAGAAATCATCCCTAGCTTGTGGACCATACAAACACAGATTTGCCTGTGGGTCATACAGTTTGCGGACTCCTCATCTCCTGAGTTCTCACTATACACGCGATGCTTTACGACGACACATGCTCTCATAGAACCCTAACCTGTTCTGTGAGGTAGATGCTATATCATTTCCATTTTCTAGATATCCGAAGTAAAGCTTAGAGGACTTAGGTCACATAGATTTCAAAAACCCTGCTCTGAACCACTAGGCCACCCTACCTCCTAGTAATGGTAAGCAGCTCAGGGGAATGGTGGAATTAATAGGTTTTCTTTAGCCAGAGGCATTCAAAGACCTAAAAAAACTCTTTACAAGGAGTATGAGGTTTGCCATCATGGCTTACTCGCAGTGAACTCATCTCAGATCTCTGTTACCATCATGTTCTCTCTTTTCACAGGTCATGCAGGGGGTGGATATAGTGTTTGATAGCTTCTACCTTCCAGAATGTAATATTCTCCCATATCTGAAGGAAAAAGGACAGCCTTCAAGCATTCGTTCCAACCTCTAGAGCCCGCTGCCCCCATGACTGCCCAGACCCCACGCGTGGACCTTGCTAGCCCGTGCAGAAAGCGGGCATGCTCACATTCATCATTCTCTCCACATTGCTAACTTCTCTGCTCACCACTCTGAACGGCAGTTCTCTCTTGCGCGACCTCCTGTCTCTTGTTTAAAAGCAATTTAATGTGCTAGAGAAGATGGAAGGAAAACAGGAGTTTCCATGTCCTTCCATCACCTCTTAGGATATCAGGTGGTGGTCTCCATCCTTCCTTCATCACCTTCCTTCTCTGAAAGAGCCAAATGCCCTTCACACTGTCTGTGGGTCACACTGGATCACTGGCTTCCAGATATGATACCGACAGCTTCATCAGTCAGTAAATATGCAACTGTTAAAGATCTGTGACGTGCCCAGCATCATGCTATGTACTACGGAGAGTGCTCAAGTATAAGATACTGACCTCCAGGAATGTGCAACCTATTTGAGATAGCAAGACTAACAAATATGTGGTAACAGTAGTAATAATA